CATTGTCGCTACGTTTCCAGTCGGCGCCCAGGCACGATAATTTAATAAAGGTCCTTAGGCAACAAATCATTATTTGTATACGACAGTGGTAATTCCAACGCTTATTCAAAATCGAAAATGTCTAATCGTTAACGCTATTCTGTGAACATTAGAATCTGATTTGGATAGGAAATTCGTGGTGGTAAATTAGTATTTACAAGGATTGGGAACACAGTGTAACAGATGTCGGCATGGAGCGTGTCACAACGCACGGCCGGCGTATCGGATAAGTGCGCGTTACGCAAATCCGCAGATATGTCGGCCGCGCGGGCGCAGGCGCTTGCACAAGGTTTCGCAGACCTTTGTTTTACGCAACCCGATCGATTTAATAGCAAGTCGTGCATTTTCTCAGCCGCGCACCCGCCGCCGAACAAAACTAATTGTCGATCGCAACCGGCTATTGTAAGGCGCCGGAAATGGAAAGAAAAAAATATGAAATAGATCGGCCGGATCTGCGCGGTTCCGATGCGACAAAAACTCGACGCCCGGCGCACTCTCGTTGTGAAACACTTTTTTTGCGGTGACCGGATTTATTTTCATGTTTATATGGATGACGTCGATGTCCGGTGTTCGCTTCTCAGAACGACCTTTTGACAAAGGTGATATTCGCAGTGCGATGCACTGTCGTCCACGTCCGGTAGCCGCGTCCGGTGTTTTTGTGCCACCGAAAAAGGTGCGAACACGCTTTATTTATAGCGATGACCGGCTCGGGTCGTCCTCGTCGGACTTTATTTACAGATCGGGGGAGAGGCAGAAGTAGGCGTAGACGAAAGCATTCCTGGTTGTTTCACGGCTTGCGAAGGCGTCGGATGGTTCGATGTTTGTGTATGTATATAGAAGCGTGTCGGGCGTCGGTTCCGCACGGACGGAGGCGGCTGGGGCGCGACATTGGCACGGTTACGCGACCTCCGCAGAGCGCGCGAGGCCGCGCCGGACGCGCCCGAAACGCCACGCATCCGGCACGCCCGAGCAACCATATACCAATACCTTCCCGAGTATGAAGTATCTCTTCGGATAATCTTCGCTTCGCGTCGCAATCGAACGTTTTCATTACACAATGACAATAACTCTAGCGGTTCGGCGAAGTTATACAACTGTCGAAACCGAGAGACGCACGAATGGCTTGCTGGGCGGCCGGTATTATGCAAATGCGTCGTCGTAATGGCTTGCACCACGAGTCTTCGCTGAGGCGTTTCAAAACGTTTTGAAAACGTTGGTCGGACACAGGTAAACGTGGGGGCGGGTGCGAGTAGCTCACGGCGAGCGCAGCCTGGGGCGGTAGGGAGGCACTCGCGAATTTGCACGTAGAAAGAATGTGAGGTGATCGCCAGCGGGCGCAAGGCGGGCGCGCGAGGAAGCGGTGGCCGGGCCGGTATGCGGCGCGGCGAGGCGTCTGCCGCCTCATCGCGGACAGATTTGGCACATCCGCCGGCGAGTGCCAGCGCACGCGGATCATAAATACCCCGTCCCGTTAGCGCCGCAGACGACCGAATACTTTCACATCGAGAGGACTGATTCACATGTGAAATAGACTCTCCTTAGAATATAGAAGACAATGAATGCTTTGATGTCATGCAACATTGCGCCTTGTATTCGTTGGATAAACAAAGTGTCGCCGTTCAATCAGATCGCGCTCCTCGGCTTACGTTGAACGCAAAAAATTCTAGGTTATTTGTTACCTGGAAGCATTCGCCGCGACGTAATTATTTTTGTGCGAAGGCGGGATGAGAGCAGACAATACACTGGGGACAATATATACCTGAAATTACAAAAGCCGTGTCTTTGGGTGTAGGTACGTCGCACCGGCTCCGCTCCGTCTGGGACAAGATCGAATCTATCAACTCTGGATTCATTCATGAAACTTTAACTATATTACAATTTTAAATGGCGTGTTACAAAAGCTACTGTCGTCACGTGCGTTTCCGTTCGTTTATATCCTGTCTGATACAATAACTAGGTTTGTAAATGAGAACAAAGGTGAGTTTATAAGGAAACATCCGGCTTTCGTGAAAGTGTCGACACAAATCGTTTTACTTTGTGTCTAAAAAGATCTTCCGGGAATGTACCGAATTCGTTGTACAACATGTAAGGATTCTGTTTGACATGTGATTATCTCTGGGTCCCCGAGTTACCTGCTAGTTTAACCATAAAAGGTCTAGTTTTTTTTAGTGCCAGGACTAAATATGGATATTTACTTTATGTGTATATTTTTTGACCTTCCAGTAATGTAACATGGTCGTGAGAACATAAAGTAATATAAAACATAGAATTTTAATGTACACTGCAATTTTCATATCAAAGGGTTCAACTTTGAAGTTAATAAAAAAATTAAAATTCTCTCTCGGATCGAAAAAACTACGTACAAGTGTTAAGAAAATCCGCTTCAAAGAGTCAAAGAGATCGCGAAATCAATATTAATGTTTGTTTACCTTTGAGACGGGCGCGGCGCGGCGGGCTACTCGAATTTATAATCGAGGGGATCTTTGTGAAGACGTGAGAAATGTCCAAGGGCGGGGGACACTTGCTAGTGCACCTTAAGCGTCTATTCTCACGATGTCCAACAGCTGGTCGTATACATAATTAGAATAAATTAGAGGTCAGCTGCCTGTTTTAACTGACCGTTCGAATCCGACCGTCCGCCATTTTGGTATTATGGGAGAGTTGCCAGACTTCCCTACCTGAACGCCAAAAATGTGCTAATGACGTATAAAAAATGGCCGTCTCAAGAACGAATAACTAACGTGTTATTTAAATCGAACCTTGTCGGTGAGAATCTGACGTTTTCGATTAATTTCAGCCGTTTTGTACTTGACATGGATTTCGCGGCAGTCGACGCGTGCGCCTAATCGTTCTAATCGTGGGATAGAGAAGTACAATAGTTACTCGTGTAACGTATTAAACAATTACTCACGCCAATGCCTTTTTATTTAATGTCTAGTTCTTTCAACTATTTTTAAAATTGTCTTCATAATATCTAATCTAATTATCGCTATAATTAATTGAAATTTAATTATAAGTTACATCGCGGGCGAGAATCCAAATCAAAAGTAATCAGGATTTATTTTAATTTAATGAAACGGATCTTTGATATTATTATTCACGGCTTGTTTTAAGAAAATATGTACGTAATTATGACGATGTTATGTGATACTCGAGCAAGTGTTTCTTTGAGTCTGCGGTCCATGTAATAACCAAATGTAAAGCATTCCGGCTTTGAGCTGTAACTTCAAAAAGGCTTCCTCAAGTCTCGCCTTTGCGGCCGCGCGTTACGTAAAGGGTGGAAGCAGAAGTTTTTACGTTTCCCGTTCCGCCTCGTGAACCTAAGCTTTTGACAACGTTCGCTTTGATGATGCGCCGCTCGCTCTGGGGGGGTATTAAAATTTACCTTTCCCCCCTCTGTCCGTCCTCTCAAAAGCGGGCCGAGTTAATACTGTTTCGCAAATTTACTACAACCGTCCGTCTGGCTTTCGTTCGTTAATCTCCTCGAATTTCATATCTGTATTCCAGTCAAAGGCTTTTTTTGAAATTCGAACGACAAATGTCACGAGGGACGAGCATCCACAAAGGTCGTATAGATAGTATTTCGGTCAAAACCCTGTTCGCGGGGGCGTAACGAAAATTGTCTCGTCGTGTTATCCAAGGAGAGTGGAATACACGATGGGCCGTCGCCCGGAACGGAGGACGACGACCGAATTTATATACGATCTAATTTAGAACGATATACGTGGCCAGTATTTAATTAATTTCGTATTCAGTAGCACAATACACATAATTATGAACCTTAAGAAAAATATAAAAAAGAATAAGCAATCGAAAGGGTTGGTATGCGGGACAGGTGAACGATGTAGTTATAAAAAAATGAGGTATTTTATCGTTAAGCCACGAATAAAAGGGTGCGTGCGTCGTTAAATAACTTTCTCGAATCACCTGATCGTATAAGGGTGGCAGGTACCCGCATAATGTAAAAGGGGTGGGCAGTCGTCGCGGGCAAGACGCGGGCGCGTCGCGGGCGCAACACACCCTTGACCTGATTTCAGCGCAGCAATGACACCGCTCGCCTTGAGCCGTAGCATTGCCGGAGATATTTGCAACAATGGAGGCCAGATAACGTTACAAAAGTTCGAAAATCCGCCGGCACCTACCGCCTGTAATTAATAACCGTTGGGCAATGCTGTGCGCGATTGTCCTATTGCATTCAACGTTTACTTTGCATCGAGTACGTAATTCTATATTACATTATTATAAATGTGTTACTATCTACAGATACGATATTTACACATTATTGCAATGCAATTCATTACTTTTAATTGAGACTTTAACATGCGTTTTAAGATAAGTTAAACAGAGTTAGAGACGAAAGTTTGTTAACATCTCTGTAGGTAGCAAATTGGTGAGCGACACGCGGCGCGGCGCCGCTCCGCCTCCGCTAACAAGCGGTTATCAGCACATGTAAATTGGAATAATATATTCCTTCGATAATTTTATCGCAGTCGTACGTGGCGCTATCGAAAAACAAAGGAAATGACGCGCTACTTAAGACACGAAACGTTTCCGCTGCGCCTTCCGACATTTTTATGGGCCCTTTAGAAGTAATTCTCACGATATATCCGCGTGGGCGCAGATAAAAACAAAGGAAGTATCCCATTGGATGTATCGGTTATGTAACAATAAGTTAATTTAGTTTCCATTGAAGTTTATGTTGGTACGTGCATTATGTGTACACGGAGCGAGCGTGCGTCCGCAATCGAAAATCGCGCAACTTAAGTTTCCCTCGTAAGTTACTTAATCGAGGCATAGATCTGGGGCCGAGGCTAGGCGCGTTGCGAGCGGGAGATATCGCTGCAGGACCGTTGCGTCAGTTATTTCACTGGCAAAATTTAGTACAAGCCAATCGGCGAACATCGTATATCTAAATGAACATAGTAAATTAATAAGTGAAAGTTGACCTTAAATAGACTTACCTTTGGGGATCAGCAAACACGAACTTTCTGAGCTTGAGGTCTCTTAGTACGATTCCTTGTTCATGGCAAGCGGCTACTGTTTCTGCCATTTGTCTGAAGAGCCTGCGTGCTTCGTGTTCTCGTAGCCTCTTGCGCGCGCGCACATACGAGTGGAGATCTGAGTGCGACCTTGGGAAGATGAGGTAGACCCTCTTGTCGCCGACTAGGACCTCGTGTATGGGATTGACGTGCGGGTGCCCGTCCAGTCGGTAATGCGCTTGCAGCAAACTGCTACAGTCGCGGGACACCACCTACAAAGCGGTACAATGTTAGATGCAATCCTACAACTTAAAACTAAGATTTACTAATGATTCAGTTATATATCTAAGTATGTTATACGAGTATACAGTTACATATTAAATGGGGAATAGGTAAATAATATAAATTGTAATTCGCAAATGCCGGTCATTCAAATATTAAATCTATTTAGAAAAGATCGTTAGTCAAATTCGTTCCAGCGTTTCAAAGAAACATGAATGAATGTAACCCTCTTTGAAATAAACTCCGTATTTCAAAGCTGAATTTTGAAAGGGCTAGATCTAATGCGTATAACGAAATTCCAATTATCGCTAAACAGAGATCCGTTGACGATTTAACTATACAAGTAATATATGATTGTTTAGAAAATTTAAAATATTGTATAGTTGAAAACAAAGAATATTTATGTGGAATTATAACAATATCTCGTTATAAATAAATATTTCATTTTAATATGTTACGTTACTACGTGATTGATAAAATGGAATAAATACTGTGAGAACAAAAATTCTCTTTGTTTGTACGAGGACTTTTAAGACAATGCAGAGATAAGTACGAACGTATTTATATCTGATAAGTTAAAACAGTTTATATTTCGCGTCAGTTTTCATTGCTCTAGCACTTAACATATTGTTGTATTGGTTTTTTCAAGGTGAATGAGAGTGAATACAATGTTTTTGTACGAGAGTACGGCAGTGTAATTCCACGGTTATATATATGTTTAGTATTGTACAACAGGTATTTGATATGCAAATGTGTACAAAGATAAGCGTGTTTTCAAATTCTTAGTCTTATAGAACAAGTTAATGTTACGATAATTTTCAATTTTTCAAAATATATTTGGCATTTAATACCCACAACACTTAGTGGTAAAGAGAGAAAAATAAAAAAAATAGCACTGGCTGAATGTAGTTTTTTTTATAAAGATATCTGGAGTAGCCAGTACCGGTGTATTTCTGAACGAGCACGAAATGTCAACGACATTTGCCGCGAATTTGAAATCCGATTTTCCAACTGGCGCATGATGAATCATATCGCGTGCATTATGGAATTACTTTTTAAACCTATAAATAAGAGTGGGTTATTTTAGCGTAGACCTTCAGAACTATCCGCGGGGAATTTATATGCATAACATTTTAAAGTACGCACTAAAATAAATCGTGACCCATTTGTGAGTGTTTGCGTAAAAATGAAAACGATAAGAATTCGCAACGTTTGCTGTACTTGATAATATTTGGCCACGAATGCGATCTACGGCAGCTAACCTACATACTGACTGTTATCAATATTTAAACGCCTTGTTGCGAAATGTTTACCTCGAAAAAGGATTCACCCAATAAAATTTCTACATCAATAATATTGTATTCTTAGAAACCGAACATGATTTAAGCAAATTTTCCCAGATTTAAAATTGAATTATATTTTTAATAGTAATTTAGATTAGGTTTTATTTTAAAACAAACTGTAATTTAATGAAGAAATATACGTTGAAGCTGTTTAGTATAATATATGCGACAACGCGTTAGTTAATATATTGTTTTCAACATTCGAGTGTGCGAGGCACCGTTCACCAAGCAATGCCACAATCCCAGATTAACCGTGCAAGTTTCGATTGTTAGTACACTCATTACGATATTGACAATATTCTAACATTCAAATATCTCTATCGCACAATTTACAATCCATTACCACTTGAACAGTCAATTCTAAACGAGTTATAGAACCGAACGAGCAATGTAATCAAAATGTTGTGTTCTTGTTCGGTCGGTTGTTTAGTAGAGGGGGCAAGTTAGGAGGGGGCCCGCTAGCCTCGGTGTGACATTCGGCGATCGGTGCGTTATCATGTCTATTTCACAATGTCAATGAGAAGGTCACGCTTATTTTCGGCGGGCACGAATAGATCCACGTGTGACGATCAATTTAAAAGTCAATCATGTGTTTAACTGCACTTTGACATTGTATGGAGAGTGCACAGCGATGAATGTATCGAAAGAGAGCAAATTGCGCAGGCTGGTGCTTGTACACATGTGGTATAAGGCAATACGAATGTAGCCGCTATGTCGGCAACGCGGTGTTGTAAATACACTGAGCGTTTAGCAACGATATCGTTGCCACATTTAACCTTGCCAGGTTCTCACGAGGGAAGTGTCTACTTTGTGCCTTGACAATACCTGTATGGGCCTTTGTTAGTACTAAATATCCTGTATTGCCTAAATTCATAACCTAACTTAACTAGTGAGGATGTTTGAAATAACATTAGCTAATGTACACGGCTTTGTTCACTTGATGATTCACTTGACGCGGAAATATTTGGTAAACTGAGTAATTTTTACTTCATCTTCCTTTTAATTTTAATTAAAAAGAATTTTATAAATGTAGCATTACGTCGCGTTATTAATCACAGCGAAACACTTTAATTACATTTATAGTAAACGCTTAATAAAAACATCGCGTTGCTTTTATCGATAACTAGAAATCTATCCAATATGTAAACACATTTTATCGCTTAGGATGTATTTTAATGTTAACACATAAGTGCTCTAAACATAATTATAAGGTGTAATAAAACCGTTAATTGTTAATTATTGCGAAATCGATACATGACATTGTAAAAAAGACGATGAATCGGTGGCCTACAAGTGCGTTCAAGTAGCGCGGGGCCATGACATATAAACTATGACAACGATGTTAACACTGACGCTTTTAACAATGCACGCGAAAAAAAAGAAGAAAAAAATCATGTTGACATCTGTCAATGTCACATGCCGTTCAGATTATTAAATCAACAAATAATTAATATGAAAATTTACTATAGATTTATCTATATTCATGTTCCCACAGATAAAATAAATATTTTTGAATTAATGATTAATTCGCAAGCAAAGGTCGACGGTATGTGGGCTCATTATACACAACTGGGCTTATCTCTCCATGGGGTCTCAATCCCGTGGGATAAAACGAACCCTTCCAGATTTGCCGGATGTTTAAGTTAGCGTGAAGTGAACTATGGCTACAACTTTAATTATTTACAATTATTAAAATTAGATTGGACTGGACATATCAGAACAGATGTTAATCTATTTCATTAAAATATTTTAAAACAAATAAATCAAAGAAATGTTAAGGTTTTATTTTATCGACGAGATCGTTTATAATTAATGTTTATGGCATATAATTGTGGATTTTCTTAATTTATTTTAACGCAACAAACTCAACTTTTTCAAACGAATTTTGTTTCACGATTTTGAACTTAAATCTCTCACATCAGACAGTTGACTACTTAACTACCAAGCTATAAAGGTTTAACGTCACTTTATTTACACTTATAACAGGAATTTACAAACAAAAAATTAATTTAATTCTTGAAGACATTGAGGATATAGTAAACTTTTATGTATTCACATGACAATAGCTATCCTAGCCTTTTGACATTGATTTTTTTACAAGTTACGTACGATTTAGCAACATATGTGTAGTGTCACTAATTGGCTACTTAAAAATTGGGTCCGTAAGGTCGAACGAAGACAAGAGATTACACACTGTATCAATCAACCAAAACTGCGCAAGTCTGTTGTAAGCCGGCACAATTTCGACACGAGCCGTTATGTATCCCAGTCATGTCGACAATGCGATGACAGATCGCTGTTTTGGACAATGAGTAAAGACTTAAAAATGACAGGTGTGAATAAAATCATGATTTAAGATTTGCACGAATACTCGTATGTCAGTATTTAGTATTACTAAGACTGGTGAGAGTAAAGTTTTACCTAACTATTCCGTTTTTTAGTTGATATGATGAATGTTTGTATCGTTAGTTTATATGAGTGTGTAAACTTACTTTACAAACATATTCCTCCTGCGTGCGCACGTCCACACATCTACAAAGCGAGGAGCCCTCCACTTGTTCCAACAAAAGATATTTCTCGGCCACCAGGGCCGCTTGGAACTGATGTTGGAGCGGGGCAGGGCTGGTAGGCGCGGGACTTGAGGGCGAAGGTGCCGCCGAGAGCCGCTCCACCAAGCTTGGGGACTGGGCCCTCTCCTCAGCCTTGCTGTGCTCCCCAGAAGTAACCGGCACGGTCACCGCTGGCTTGCTCAAGCGCAATGGCCACAGCAACGAAGGTGATCCGGGATCCATCACAACACACAACACTGTTCACTGTCACAATACACTAAACGTTCACAAAACACGCACAAACAAACACTTAAAACGAAGAGGAACTATGATGTGATGAACATGATCTGTAACAAAATGAAGAACATTTAAAATAGGAACACAGTCTAAACAAAAAGCATCGTAAAATTGGTGGACGTTTATTATGAGTAAATTATTAAAATACCCACAAATATATTGTACGAACCTTGAAATGAAACGTCCTGAGTGGATATCGTACCAAAATTTGACTGTCCGTGGCGGCGAATATCGCTTTAATTCTTGTTGAATTACAGGATTTGTTTCCGTAGTAATTCGAGCAAGTTTAGACAGGCCAATATTTTGGGCCGGTGTCCGCTCGGGTTATTGTTAAAACTAAACGAACACACGACCGACTCTGACTAACGCCATTGCGAGACTGACTGAGAGTAGCGTGACGAGGTGACGCGGGCATTCGGAGGATTCGGCCTGAGCCTCGCGCCGGCGGCGACCGAGCCAACGTCCAATGTCGACACACCGTCGGCTTGCGTAGTACGCGACCATACGCCATGCGGTTTGCAGTCGAAACAACTAACCGCTGCCTGTCTCTTTCTTTCTTACGTGTTAAACTCTCTTTGGAAAGGGAAAGAAACAGACCATTCATTTACGTTTGGCAATGCAATGATGTCAAATGTGTTGTTTCAATATTTTTCACAACAATAAATTTAACAACAGAAACGGGTAATTGCATTTAAGTAAAGTGTAATGTAAATTGTGAAAATATTTTACGTCGAGAGTATATTACTATATCTATTTTTAAGCATATTACTACTACAAAAACTGTAATAAAAATGCTACCACAATTAGTCTGTCCAGTCCAGACCTTATCAGCTACCTATCAGGTTCTAATTCTGGACTGAGAATGATGATCGCGAGGAACTTGTTGTCTTCACAGATATAACTAAATAGATTTAAATGAGCTAAAATAAAGAAAGTAGAATTTCAACATAACCACAAAAGTAATAATTTTTTTCTATACAATTGGCCGTGTGAGGCGTAAAACTAAAAAAAATGTTTAGGCGACCGTTAAAAGGTTTTTGTTAATGATTTTATGAAATATGTGTCGCCAAAATTAATTATTATCAAATTAGAAAATAACTGTTACTTAACATTATAAAAACAGATTTACTTAATGTGAATATGGAAAAAAATATTTTGCAATAAATTGCAATTGTCTAATGTACTTGGGCAATTTTTAGTTTTTTCAATTCGTTAACAAACGCTTGATACGTATATTACTTCATTATGGTATAGGCATAGATATAACAGATATCTGGAACACAAAACAAAGGAAATAAAGGCTCTAAGGAGGCCTTTTACTGTAGAAACTGCGTCATGTACTCTAATAGCATTTTAAAAATAAACTCTCCATTAGACGTCAAACTTGCACACACAACACTTAATACTCATACTAACATAATGCTTCTAATATTTTCAACACGAAAGTTTGGATGGACGTATGTTAGTTACCACGTATATTTAAAACACATCTCAATAAAATTCGGCACAGATATGATATAGTCTGGAAGAATAAACAGACTACTTACTATAGTTATTTTTAATTCCGTGCAGGCGAAGTCACGGGTAACAGCTAGTATGTTATAAATCTATATTTTTAGGTTATTTTATGTCAGAACTTCCTTATAGATTATGATATTATTGCTCAAGACATTAATCTAATAAAATTAAAACGATAATTACAGTGAATGTATCGGAATTAGAATTATTTAGATAACAATTTTACATGTCACTTACCAATGCAATTTTTTCCTTTTTGAAATAAAATCTTGGCCGAATATAACGACGAACCAACACACAGGACGTTTTTCACACAACTGACTGAATAGTGTCGCCATTCATTTTACGTTAAACAATTTTGAATTCTATTGCGCAATATTTTACAGTTGAAAATTGTTATGTAAACTAGTAGACTGTCCTCTAATAACCTGAAAATGTGACTAAACGATCCGAAACGAATTTTTAATAGAACGTTCTAGAATATCAACAGTCATTTTTAATTTATTGACACTGATAATGTCGAAAACTTAATTATAAACGAAACAATGTGTAGGTATATTATGTTCTATCGACTATGGCTTACTTATATAAATAATTAATAATATGTAGAAATGACGTAGGCTCATCTAATATCCTTAGTCTAACCCTGATGTTACCTAGTCATTTAATTACCCCACAATTTGTTCAGGTGTGTCAGTACTTTACCCAGAAACATGACATGATAAATCAGATCAGGTCTGAACATGTCAAAATTATTGTGCAACGAAAATGTACCAGTTGCAGTAGACAATTGCACAATAATTTAGAAAAGAGATAAAAGTAGAAGACCAGAGCCTAAGGATCTGCGACAAAACACTTACAAACATATAGCCATCCTTCTTCGTCTCTTGAAAAAATACAAACAAAGACAGAGAGAAAAACAGTGAGACGAATCGTTACTTTACATGTTTATTTTTTTTATTTCTGCATCACTTTCTATTCGATTGCTTAAATTACTTAGATATCACAATTTCCATTTATCGTTTAAGATGATTTGTAACTTCGTAACAGTGTTTTGTTTATAATTTCATACGCAAACGTAGCGTACAGAAATAACTATTGGGGAATGAAAACGCGTTATATGACTCCAGACCTTTCTACGTCACGACCTAGGCTGCTGTTATGAACCGTATCCGCTTACTTGTGCAAGAATTGTTTCCTAAGATACGTCACGGGGCAAAGGAAAATTTAGCGGCACAGGATTGCTCGGTAATAACGAGAAAACCGTTGTGCAATGCCATGGATTTTTCTGACAAAATGTCGCTTGGAATTGCTACGTCATAGTTCGACGTCATGACGCATTAAGTATGAAATCATGATGGCGTTATTACTGTTGATTACGTTTATATTTATCGATTTAGATTAGTTAGTAATCTAATGATTTGTCATTCATTGCTGGAATTAGAGGAGTTATTGCAAGAACTGTTATCATTTTTTTTAATTAAAAATGTTCTGTTGGTCAAAAACAAAGGTAGATTTGTACAGAATAGACAATTTTGAGAAGAATGTGAACCAAATGACGTATAGAATTTATTATTATGAAAATCTACGTCAAATACACTAATTCGATTCTCAATTGTTTTCTCATATTTGACGCAAACCTTTCTCCAGTCACGTTTTTAATTGTAAATCTCTTACAAACTTTCGTCAGTCATCAAGCCGTAAAAGTTCAATTTTGAATACGAGCTAGTTAAATTATTTTCGAATGTTCCATAGTAACTTTTAACAATAGCAAATGCTTCGTCAATTTACTCTTACAAATTGCCACTCACGTGTTTCGCGGCTTTATTAAAACCGTAGCAACTAATTTCTCTTACGTTCTTTCAGTATTACTTCAATGTACGCAAGTCGGAATAAAACAAAAGTTTTCTATTGTTTCATGTAGAAATTTTGTTTTTGGAGTTTTTGGTGCTTCAAGCGTCACGTTTTCGCATTTTCTTACTTTTATTTATGAAACTCTAATTTAAAAAAATTGAACACTCTAAAACACAAAACCGTTTATACCGGAGTGGAACAAGCTTATATATTTTTTTTGTATTAGTACATTTTTGGTCATTTACTAATATTTGCTTTAACCATTCCAACTAAGCTCTAGGCTTGTGCTAGGATATGGTTCACGACAATAGTCGAATGAACGAACCCTCGACTGCAAGATCGGTAGTCCGTACGCCAAACCATTGGGCTATTGACGCTTTTCATCTATACTATTATAATAAAGCGTAAACACAAATTTCTTTGTTGCCTAAGATGTCAGCAATTACAGCATATTTTTGAATAATTCTTTCTTTAATAAAAATACGACGACATTAAAATTAGGGGGTAAATATTTTGGATAAAAACCCTAATGTGGGAAAGAGACCATAAGTTGCTGCCAACATCAAGAAAGCAAGATTGCTAAGGTTTGTCATATCATGTCATTTTGACATTGGCTATTAATAATTTGACAAATGTAAACAATAAAATAAAATTTTCATAATTTCATGCGGATGAAGCCGCACGGGAACAACTAATGATACATATTAAACTGTATTTTTATACATTTCTACGTCTTAACACCTGTTTCCAATATCCGTTTAGAATCTAGTTGGTATAAAGGCCCAATACCCGGATCAACCTTACACTTAACATTTCCGCTAATACCAGTATTATCTTGCATATTACGTTGCGGAATTCCGCTTACGTTATATACGGAGATGTCGGTAAACAAACTTATTAATGATCTAAACTACTGACCAAGTTCTTCTTTCTAAGTGTTTATGAGACGCAGAAGAAAAAAGACTGTAATATATCTAGAAATGTGACCTACTAGAGATGTGATGAATGAAACAATTTTTCTATTTAACATCTGAGTAAATTTAAACTGGCTTATTGGACTAATAAACGAGTTTAAACAACTTATATAAAGTCGATTTTTTAACGTATTTAAACCATATGACAGGTTTACCAGATTTTTTCGGCAAAAATCATTGAAGAATAATCACACGTGTTTTTTTTCTGCTTCTCTTCTTATTCGTGTTTATCAAGTCTGTAGATCATAGGATACTGAAGTAATTTCACCGGTAATGTTGTACTGCCTTCGTACCGGTTTTATTTTTTTTGCTTAAAAATATGAATGCGTCAACGCAATAAAACTAAGGAAATTGAGGTTCACTTCATTACTTTATACTTCAATGTTAGCTAGAATCGAGCGTTCTTCCGCACTCATAAATCCCGTTACGCGTGAATCATCTTTACCTGTGCAGTGGACCGATGATGAGTCAGTCGCTTTGTTCCCGAATGTTGACTGCATTCCCGCATTCTCTTGATATGATGCACGGGAGACGTTTCAGTAAAAAAAACACGTTATCGAGTCAACTAGAGGGCGTTAATGTCACCGAACCTCCATTGTATAAAACCTCTTTCGTTGGAATTATGTAATTATTACAAACTAAGGGATTATAAACAATAACACACCATTTACCTGAATGTTGGTGAAAATGAAGCATTTAATAAGTTACCTGCGCGTTCATTGAGTGCCTCTAATTGTGACAGGATTATTGCAAAATAAATGACAATTTTGTTTTTGTATTCAAAACTATTGTATTTAAAAGTCATTCATTCGGGAAGGAACTGAAGGGAAAATTTTAATTAACACAGGTATTATTACGGTATTTCATTGAAGGTAAAGTAAAGTGTATTCTATTGTTTTTAAATATTGTTTGTTAGTGTGTTTTATTATTATTTTCAGTGTCATTGAATCTTTCCAAGTACAGGCATCTTCAGGTAATCATAGTAATTCATGAATAGTAAATACGTGGTGGATACACTGCCGAGAAAAAACACCTCACCTATAAATTACAAAAATTGTACAAGTGGC